GAAAACATAAGGAGTCAGTCTGGACCCAGTGGATAGCCTGAGATCAAATCCAAATATATGAAGGAGATTCTTTTTAAATTACGGAGTTTGAGGGTGGCTTGTCATATAACATTACTGTAGCTCTAGCTAACTGATACAAGAAGAACTGAAGGAGCAAGTAAAGGAATTTTCACTGTGCAGTATCAGTAAGGCACAGTAAGTGAAGGAGATGGTAAAGTCCCCAGCAGGGACTTGAAGAGCCCTGGAGAGAGGGGCTGCTGTGTAGAGCACTGGCTTTGTGCGTGGCCAAATGATATTCTTGCTTAACATAGATCAAGGTCATCATTTGGGACCCATTCGATGCACAACTTTATATGTGGTACATGAGAGTTCTTATTCTGAGTGAGGAGAAAGTACGTGCTGGTTTCTTTCTTCTGTTTGTTTGTTTTGTATAGCCTTAGAAGGAGAACTGGGGATGTACGCTAGCCTCTTCCTGCAACTGATTCCTAAGGCTGAGTTCTTATCTGATGGGGATAAAGGTGAGGGCCACAAGCCATTCTTTGTAATATTATGACTACCTGGCCCCAGGCAGAACTTCTTGTACATATCAAACTATGGCACAGAAGTAGAATGGGGATCATTCTCCTCCACTCCCTTGAGCCCCCACAGTCAGCTCTGGCTCCTTAAAGCTTCGTGGGTTGGGCCAATGTTGCATGTGTTATAAGCACTCTGCTTTCACCATGAGCATTACCAGCTGCTGCTACAGGGAGTTTCCTGTAGGCCTGTTCTGAGTGGAGGGTCTAGAGCAGGGAGGATGGAGTGGGACTGTCTAGACGCTTGAGTGGTGGGTGTGTGAGGAGAAGAGACACTAGCTGGGGACTTCCAGGAATACATGGGAGGACTTGGCAGGGGACTAGCAGGGCGGGGACAAGAGCAAAATTTGAGACAATATTAATAGGAGCTCATCTGAACACACATGCTGCTGAAAGACTTTCCATTTAATTTATACATGTGGCTAAAGGTCCACCTGGCCCAATTCCTAGCTGCCAATACTCTTGAAACTCACATGATGATGCTGGGGGACATGGAACTCTCTTCAACTGCACATCAGGTCCAACAGATGACTCAACCCCTGGAAGGGGAACATCACTAAGGTATCGCATCTGTGGATTCACTGCATGGTTTAGGATTAAATATATTCATTGTAATGTTGCCAAGAGATGTTAGAGAGGGTGCCAAAGATAAGAAGTTATTGAAGAGAAAGAGATGTGCGTTAGGAAGAAAGAGAGGTAAAGAAAGGAGAGAGAGAGAGAGAGAGAGAGAGAGACAGAGAGAGAGAGAGCACAGAAGACGGAAAAAGGGACGGCAGGAGGTGAAGGAGAGTCTCCGATGGAAGATGTGAAAACCTTAGCTATGAGATATAAAGACTCTTTTCTAAATCACTGGCAACACTATTTTTTCTAACCACTGATAACTGCTCTTTACTTTTAGATACTATGATATTTAAGATAAGATCTAAGGAACTCATGCAATAATGTGGAGACGGCATTTTCAGGAAAAGAGATGAGCACGGTCCCTTAATACTCCATAACCTGTGTATGGGAAGTAAGTCCCTTCTACTCGCTCCTCAGGAAATGCCCTGACCCCACACGTGGAGAAGGGAACTGCGACGCACACTCTCCCCAAGCTGAGATAATAAATCCCATCTGCTATGTTTTTTCACTACGAAACATTTTCGTGAGCATCATCTGCAAATTTGTAAATATCACTGGCTTATGAATCCCAAAGCAGCTGGCTGTCGGCAGAGTCTCACTGTCTCTGGGAAATCTCCCCGTGAGAAGGAGCAGCAAAAGACGTTTTAATCTCAATGCAATAATTGAACTATATATGAGAGAAACAGTGATATTTACAACATTATGAGTCAGAGTTTCCCATAAAATTCTCTCATAGGAGGAACTTAAGGGAAAGATTCACTATTAATGAAGAGGAATTTTTTTAAAAATCCAACTAAGAAGTCACTTAGTGCAATAATTTGTCGAGTGCCTCCTCTGATTGAAGCCCTGGTCACCATGTTTAATTCTTTCTCTTGGCCCAGCAGGAGGGGAAAGCCCTACAAGACAGCCAATTCTCTCACTAATTTAATCTTTCTATTCTTCCAATTGGTCCAATATCAATGGGAAAAACTGACATTTGGCCGTGTAGCTTCTGGGAGCAAAGTCAGATAACGAATGGAGCTTGGATAGTGAATGAGCCTTCTTGGCTCTAGTTTATGTGCTGGCTCAACCAGCTTATGAGCTCATTTTTCCAGTCTCTTCCATGTCTTACACTGGGAAAAATGATACACAGCTGTGCAAGTATCTACACTATCTAGTATCTGAGGAGTATCTACTATACCCATTGTTTTGGGGTGGGAAAGAGAAGTGGAGGACAGAAATCAAAAGATGAATAAGAAAGAATGAAACAATCAATGGGCCAGTACGTCTAGCAGGTGTCCCGACCTTTGTTCAGCTAAGGACTGACTGAGTTCTAAAACAGAGGTAGTTCTAGCCTGTTCCTGAGAATGAGACTTTCATCTCAGTGCAGAGCCCCTGAATCCTCTGTACCAGTGTCTCTGCCTACATTACAAATCTTCAACTGACTTAATATATGTGTTTAGGACAGAACGTGTACTTAACGTAAGTAAAATGATAATAGGGGGAGCTCAGTCCCACTCTGTCACCGCCTAGCTCTTTGACCTCAGACAAGGCATTTAATTTCTTCATTTCAGTTTTATTCATTCACTTGCTTATTTGTTCATTCATGCATTCCTTCAAATAACACTGAGATCCTACTGTGTGTCCAAGGACTCTGCCCAGGGGGTGAAACAAAAGATACATTCTCTAGTCTCATGGAGGATCGTGTACTACTAGTAAGGGAGACAGCCTGAACAAACAAACGAAAGGTAGGAAGCACAGAGAAAACAACTATGGAGCTGAGATGGAGAAAAGATACTTGCATTAGAGAAGGTGGTTAGGGAGAAACTTTTTATAGAGGTGATATAATCTTAGGAATAATAAGACATTTATGAATAAAATTGGGATAACAATGGAGCCTTTATTAGATCGTAGTGAACATTAATTAGATGATGCATGTGATGTCTTTGATTTAATGCCTGAACTGGATTTAGCACATGGACTTATTTCATATTTTGGAGCACATAAAACATCCCATGGCCTTGTGCTTAGTAGGTCTGCAGGAAAGTGCGCTGCCGAAGGGCTGTGTCCAGAGTGTGGTGGGTATTGCCCTCCCCACACCATCACTGCTCACCACCTCGGGCTGTGATTGCCCTCTTGGGCATGGTCGTATACCAGCAAGGGATACATCACCCTCTGGACTCCAGAGCGGGTCCTGCAGGATAATCTCATTCCAGGCAGAAATCAAGAGTCACTTGGTGCTGATTTGTGCCTCAGCTTCACACAGTGTAAACAGAAGCCACCAGGGCTGCCCACTCAGCATTTATTTTCAGGCACTGAAAAAAAGAAGTGTTTTTCTTTTTAAAAGCAACGATGGAAGAAGGGCATTTTCTGTGCAGGCTGTGGCTCTCGATTACATAAACTGCTTGGCCCAGGGGAATTGAAATGGAGGAAGCGTATGCAAAGTCAGATAATGAATGGAGCTTGGGTAAAAAGCAACGGTAAAAGAAACTGCTTGTTTTTACTTTTGTATCTGTAGTGATGTTTGTTTGACTTCAGCTTGGCCAGTGGTCCCAATCTTGACATTGAACGTTTGGGGGAGAGGACAGAGGTATCTTTGTGATCTGACAGTGAGTGCAGTAGGATTTCTTATTTTTAATTTATTTGTAAAGCAACTTTTCTAGTGGATCCTCACTGTAGGAATTTCAAGGACCACTATTTGGTACACACGAGAAGTGAAGCCACCGCATTTGCAGCTCACCCGCAGAACCCAGAGACACCACTTCCATCCACTAGAACGCTAAGTTGGTTAGATTATTGATGGCTCAGTGAAAGAGGAATGAAGACCGAATGATAGACAATCCCGTTTTAGACCTGGGCCATTGCTTGTGGGCCTGGGCCAGCCATTTTCATTCTCTGGGCCTCCTGATTGGTATTATTTGTGTCTCGGGAACTATGAACACTCCGCCCTGGAAGCCTGGGGTAACTGAGGCCCTGAGTTTATCATCAGTCGGACTCCTAAAAAGCAGCCCAAGAGGGCCTTGACAGTGTGCCCCCCAGTTCCTGTCGGTGGCCAGTGTCATGAGCTTGTCTGCAATACAGCGGGCACTGCCGGGAAAGTGACCCTCGTTATCTACCTCAGCAGTCACTGCAGGGCACCCTGCTGCCCACTGTGGGTAGGAGCTCTGCAGAGATGTTAGAGATTTGTTCTAGGGGCCTGTGGAATGTGATGCTCAATCTAAGTCTAGGTCGAGTGTGGGAGGTGGGGAGGCTTCCTGTAATGCATAGCTCAGAAGGGAGCCTTGCACCTTTTTCTTCACGTGCACCTTAAGGCCGTTTGCAGTAGCTGTACCCTTGTGATGGAATCCATGCCAGAGGCACGGCAAAGGCGAGAGCTCTGCACACACATTCTACAAGTCCAAGCACTTTTCTTTTGAAATATTTGGAATGAAAAGGTTTGACTGAATTGAAATCTCTTCTTATAATCACAAGAAATTTAAACATTTACATCAAAGACAATATAAAAGAAGAGCTCTTGGATTCCTTAAAGATAATTTCAACTGTTGTAAATTTTTGAATGGATGTTAAAAATGGTTTTAAATTTTTTACCACCTACTTGTATGAACAAAATTTCTCATCAATGGTATCAAGAATTTGAAGAAATCATTAAAAAGACTTTGCAAGAATTTCTCATAGCCATTTCAAACATAAAACAGTGCCAACTATAGTTACGTGCATGGAAACAAACTCAACTTTTTCCTTAAAACTTTGAAAAACTTTGAGTTTTTAGTAAGTTCAATATGAAACATCTGCTTCTAACACTTTATATTTTATTTTTATTGTCCTCATCATAAAATATACAGAAAATGTATTAAATGTTTTCTTCCAGATCACCTAGCTGTCCTCAAGTGCCCCCCAGATCATGTCACTGTGACAAACAAATGCCGTCATACTATGGCTTTATTTTGAATAGATAACAAAACACTTGGATGCCGATTCTGGTGTCTAGTCCATTTTTGCTGCTAACACAAAGGACCCATAAACTGGGCAATTTATGATGAACAGTTTATTTCTTATAGCTGAAGGCTGAGAGTCCCAGTCAAGTCACCAGCAGATGAGGGCTTGGTCTCTTTGGTCTCATGATGGCACTGTGAATGCTAAGTCCTGTGGAGAGGAGGAATGTAATAGTCATACATGGAAAAAGAGGAAAAGAGCAAGGGCCCACTCCTGCAAATCCATTTTATCATGGCATTAACCCTAACCTCTCCCCAAAGGGCCCACTTCTCAACATTGTTGCACTGGTAGTTAAGTTTCCAACACATTTGAAGGGGACACATTCAAATTACAGCAACTGCTCAAAGAAAGCCATCTTTGTTTTTCCCACCAGCAACTTAAGACTAGGTTCTTCCATCTATAAAATGATTGCATTAGCTTAAATTCTCTCAGTTACTCCAAATCGTGTTATTTTAACAACTATTTACTTCTACGATTATGACAAGTATTTATTTCTTATGAGAATGTATATTAGTAATCATTGATTTCTGAATAACTTCAATAGAAGACAGTCTTGCTAAAAATCAATGAAAATTGCTATGCGTCATACAGATAATGGAAATGGGTATGCATTGTGCCCAAAATGTTTATCAGCAAGGATCAGCAAGGAAAATTTAGCTGGCACTTTGATGCCAAAGAACTCACGGTACTGTGCTGATGCTACACGCCTGTTTGTTCAAGTTAAACTCCCTGAAAACATTTCCTTTGTTCCTTTAATTTTGGGAACACAAGTCAGCTGGAAGGAAACCATGGTATACCATCCTTTCCCTTTACAGTCAGAGGGCTCTGCTAGCATAGACTGTGCCCATGTGGATCAGTTTTGCAACTCGATGTGCCTTCCTGTTTATTTCTAGTCATCTCTTTTTGCTTCTGAAGACAATGATCTCAGGTTGATCATGAAACCAAGGATCAAAGTCAATAATCACCTTTCCATTAGTTTCTTTGAGCCAGCATTCTGCCTTACCTGCCTTCTCCTCCATCTCTTCTGTCTCCCTTGAAAGCAGATAATGATTTTTAAGAAATAAATAAAGCCTGGTGCATTTAACAGCCAAGCACTAAATACAGCTCCAGGCTAGTCCCAGAAGTCAAAATGCTAAAGCATGAAGGAGGTCCAGAAAAATACACTTCTGATTATCAGAAAAATTTGAGTCATTAAAGCGTCCAATTTAGACAACTGAGTGGATGTCATCTGATCAGCTATGGGAGACTGGTGCAGGCTGCTTTCAGACACTCCTGAGATTAGAAGTACATGCAGCCTGAGGAAGTGTGAGTAGGAGAAAAATGTATATTGTGTACCGTAATGCCATGGAGTGAAAGCAAGGTTCAGAGTTTGATCTTTGGGTGAAGAAGATAAAGCAAAAGTCAGGATTAATAAGGACTTAAAAACAGCAGAGTCTATTCAAGGACTTTTCCAGCAGGAACTTAATTTGTATAAATAGATCATTTAGCAACGATGAAAGACACTCTAGAAAAGTAACTGTAAAATGTGTCTATTGTAAAATCAGAGACGGAAGTCACATTTATTAAGCACCATATGAAGAGAATGGTGATACTAGGTGTTTTTACATCCTGCAAGCTAAGTTCAACTGCAGTATCATTCCCCATTCTAATGCATGAGGAGAGGAAGACTAACAAGGAAGCTGAAAAATTAGTTATAGAATGTATAGAGGACAACTTGATCGGAGCTCCTAAGCTCTGACTCAGTGTTGTATGTAGACATTCCTGTCATGGGTGTGTCCAACTCTTGCTTTTTATTCCCCAGCTTTAATTGGGTTTATTGGTACATTTTAGGGATACAGTACAGTTACATTCATTGTTGGGATCTTGTACCTCTACATGACAGGTCTTGGTTCTCATTTTTTCCCCTTGTCCCTGCCCTCCCTTCACTCCCTCATCCCCTCCCCATCTACAAGCACTTTATTTCCATCTTTTCTTTATCTCACATTTTTTTCTTTTCCCTTATTACCCTTCCCCTATCCATCCCACCTTCCCTACACCTTTAGCCCTTTTCTTCCTATTTCATCTTGTTAATTACCGCATTAGGATCTTTTGTACTATTATAGTTTTTCACACCAGAGAAACTATTTGGTATTTACACATGTATGACTTATTTATTTCACTTAGGAGTATATCCTCAAAAGGTATCCATTTTCCTATGAATGAACCTAATTTCTCATTCTTTATGGCTGAGTAGTATTCCA